AATTTCCTCATTAATTGATCGATGCTTCCTGTGTTGTCTGACTGCATATTCAGCAGCTTTTCCTGTCAAACCATGCCGATAAGCATCCATCCATCTAAATGACAATCTAGCAAAAGAACGGATTCTCTCTACTGGAATTGAATCAAAAGCTTCAGAGATTGTTTTTCTAAACTTCGGAAAAGAATATTCACAATTATCTCGGGTATACTTCTTGGCTGCACCCCAGTACATTTCAATATAATTAAATTCGGGGTGAAACTTGGGATAGAATATAACCTAAAATAAAATATTTAAAAAAATATTTAAAAAAGAATAAATGGTAGTTAACAATAAAAGTTAGCTACCTTATGTCCACGAGATTCAATTTCTTGTTGAATTTGACCACATTGTGCAAGAAAGTCAGGTTAATTAGCCATCAAATGACATGCACAACAATCAATAATATTAGAATTTGATTCTTTTTTACACGAAGCACACTCTAATACCATTCCTTCTCACCAAAGTCCTCTTTCACTAAGAACCCATTTAATTCCTTTTGGTTGATCACATAAGTTAATATTCGATTTTGTTTTATTGTCATAAATAAAATAATTTTGTTCAATAATCATTAACTGACGGCACCCATTCCATACAGTATCTCGCATTTTTGTAGTTGATCTACTTGGACTAAGATTCATTTTTGAAGCCACAAGAGCATCTTCTGCAAAAGCTGTATGAGATGTGGCATTATCAAAGGCAAATATACCTACAGATAAAATTGAACAAGAATGATTTAGATTGGAAAAGACAATTTTAATAACAATTTTACTATTTTTACCTATACATCCTGGATGTGTTCTTTCAAAAATATTTATTGTCCGTTTAACTTGTTCAAGAAGTTTTTTGGTATCCCAAAATCCATCATGACGCATATCTATTACCATTGTTACACATGCCTCTTTATAATCATCTTTGAGTGGTCCATTTGTTTTTGTTAAAAAGTCACTTACATGTACACCAAGACCCAATCCTTTTTTCCTTAGTGGTTGTTCTTCTTTTGGACCCCACATGGCATGCGGTTCATTATAAGTATGAAAGGTAGATTCATCATGAGTTATCCAAATATGTTCTTTCTCACCATTAACTAACTGTGGGAAGGTTCTAATTTTACAGTCTTCGTCATACCATTTGGACAT